TGCAGATTCATTGTGACAGTCAGGCGGCGCTACACATTGCCGCTAATCCTGTCTTTCATGAGCGCACTAAGCACATTGAAGTTGACTGTCATTTTCTTCGTGATGCTCTTATTCAAGGTCTCATTTCTACCGCTCATGTTTCCACTCATTCTCAATTGGCGGACATCTTCACCAAGGCCTTGGGAAAACGCGAGTTTGATTTTTTTCTGGCAAGTTGGGCATCCGGAATCCGCATGCTCCAACTTGATGGGGGTTGTTAAGGTAATTTTGTAAATATTATTTTTGATATAGATGAATTTTGGTATCTTAGAGATTTTGTGTATATTGTTTTAGGGTTTCTTTTGTATCTGTATATTGGGGCTCTGATAAATCAATGAGACAGAAGTTTTTAGGTCAATGAATTGTTTTCATATATTTGTCATATTATTTAAGTAATCAGAGAATATGGTATGATTTACTTGTTGTATATAGAAAGTTAGCTCCACTATGGAACCAACTGTTGGTTTCATAGCAAAACTGAAGGCTAATAATCAACTTACATATAAACGCAAAGTTTATTAAGCCTTAGAAGTCAACTTTGTAGTTTTCGTTATATAATATATATATATATATATATATATATAGGGAGTGGTTCAAATAAAAACCTTTTCTGGTGTGAGAACCGTGAGAACCATATTTGATACTATTTTTAATTGTGTATGATGCTATTTTTAATCTTACATGGTGCTATCATTTTTACAAATGCTAAGTTGCTATTTTTAATAAAATACATCCTGATTAAAAATAGCACTAAATACAAATCAATCATAGCACTACATACAATTAAAAATAGCGGTTCTCACGGTTCTCACGCTAGGACTTGGTTCTCATTTGAACCGCATCCTATATATATATACATACATATATATATATATATATATATATATATATATATATATATATATATATATATATATATATATATATATATATATATATATATATATATATATATATATCAATTTTTTATGTTTTGTAGTATAGTATAACGCATATAAATCAATAATTTTATATACCTATGCGGACTCGTAAGATTATAAATACATAACAAATTTAGTCACAAATATATCTTAGAATTTAATTACCTTTCTATTTGCAATTAGATATAATCATATTAAACAATTTTAGTTCAACATTCATGTTACACATGTAAAATTTAAATAATAATATATCTACAATTCTAATAAAAATAATATAGAATTATTAGTACATCAAATAAATAAATTCACTTATCAAATATATTATATGAGTCCTAAAAAAGTGTGATAATATAGAACAATCGAATCTTATGAGAGCACCCAGAATGCATTAAGTCCAATTTTACACATGTGACATATAAATGGATTTAGGTCCTGAATGACATAGATAAACTAAAGTAAAACCCAAAAACTTTCAAGTACAAAAATAAAATACTAAGTCTATAATACATGTTAACCAATAAAAATATTCTAATATGTTTTCTATATCAAGGAAAAAATTAAATTAGGAATAAATAGTGATTGTTCAGGTTTGTACTTGAGTCCAAAATATACTCAATTGTGGACTTGGTCTCATTTTTTGATTGGCACATAAGTTAGACAATGTGCAATTTTAATTGCATTGGAAAGTATTTTTTTTTATATAGACTAAGTTTATTTTCTATGTGGCATGTGATATTTTTTTAAGAAACCCAAAACATTGTAGGAGTTATGAGCGTTAGGTTTCATTAAATAATAATAAGAAGTAATTAAAAAAATAGAATAAAAATTATTATTTTCAAAAAATGTATAATTTTAACATGATTCTTTTTTTTTTCCAACGATAAATTCATCTCCACAAATCCAAATAAAATAAGAGTACACGGGGAATCCCCGAATCCTGGCTCACTGGGAGGACAAGCCAATATGGCTGCCTAGCCGAGATCTAGCAGACATACATATCATCCAACAATAGCTTCTAACATTACATAATAATCACCCTTTAGATGATGTACTAAATAGACACAACGACTGAGATAAATGATAAAGCATTCAATAACAGAGATACACAAACAAATAGACCACTGACACTAGACCTAGCCTACCCCTTTGCCATCCTGTTATGCTTTATTGTTACTGTCATTGAAGTCCATCCAGTCTTTCATAGCAGCTTGAACAATCCATTTCTCTGGTTGCAATTGTTTCTCAAAAATCCGTAAATTTCTGGCCCTCCATAGCCACCAAAGTATATAGGTAGATAACTGGATTCTGTCTTCAGAAATCTCCTTGAAGTTCATAGAGCAGATCCACCACCACCATTCTTTGAAGCTTAATTGTTCCTGTTGTACTCTGCCCCACCACCACCATTGCTCAATTTTAACATGATTCATCCACGCATCGTTATTCCATATATATGAAAGCCAATGCTATGGGACAATTGAGTATATGAACATGATTTCATTAAATTTTTAATGAAAGTTAATTTTAAATAAAATTGATTGTGGTGGAGTTGAATTTCTATTTAAATAATATTTAAAATATAATGATTAAAATTGATGTGTGTAAAAATAGGAAAGAAATACAAATTATAGATTTAAAAATATGTGAATAAATGAATAATAAACTAAAGTTATAGAATTGGATTTAATCTTATGCGAATGAATCGCTTTAATCCTAGGAGCATTCATATTTAATAATCGAGAATCAAAACCGAAGAGCGGAAGCGTACCTGATGGATTCATATTGATTGATTGCACTTGAATGGAGATTTGGGATTTTTGGAGATCATCCAAAAGGTCGTGAACCTTATTCTCTCTTCTCTTTGACGTATGAGAAAATTGAATAGAGAGAATGAGATTGGAACTTTTCTTCTTATTTATCTTAATGAAGACCTCCAAAAGATCCCCTTGTATTTATCACGGCTTTTGGAGACTCCACCCATAAATAATTTTGACCCAAATTATTTTCTAATTAGGTCCTTAAGTGTAATATTATTATTTGTTACGTCACTAAATAATAATATTATCGGTTGTCCACATTTAATTATTCTACAATTTAAATAAGTTCTTTAGCCAATGTACAATAAATAATAATAATTTGATTCTGCATTTTTTATAAAAGTGTGTTTACTCTCGCTCAAAACCCTTGCCCCAAAATCCATCCGCCAATCGTAACCTCTTCAATCCGGTGAGCTTGTGCCTTCCTCGGCGACGGCGTGTCTCCAGCCAGCGATCGCCTATGACCGCTCGGCCCATCCCTGAAATCGCGACTCAGATGCTGCGAGCTTGTCTGCGACTTGCGATCTGCCCTCGGTCGTCGGCGAGCCTGCAATTGGTGGCGGGACGCTTCTCGGTCGCGGTGAGTCTCTGACTGGTCTGCAATGGTCAGTCTCTCCTCAATTGTCGGTGTGTCTTCGTTCGTTGGCGGATTGGCCCCGATCGGTTGCTTGACTGCGATCATTGTTCTAAAAATCGACGCTAGGCAGTGCCCGGGCCCCTCCAATTTGCACAATTCGATAGAAAAAATCGGCCAAGCGGCCCTAGGTGCTCCTAGGCGGGCTCGGCGACAATTTTTCAGTTTTTTTTTTTTTACATATTAATTACATTATTTTGTTCTCATATTTTCTTTAATATATATTAATATTATTAGTTGGAGTTTGGTGTGTGAATTTATTATAAATTAAGATAGTTTTATTTTGTAGGTAGTTAAAATAAATAAAAAATAAAGTATTTAATATTGATTTATGGGCCCCGACTAGGCGCTGGTCGAGCGCCTAGCGGGCGCCTAAAGACTTTTATAACACTGACTACGATTGGGGCTTTTCGGTAGGTTTCTCTTTTCCGGTGGAACTTCCGGTCAATGGTCGTCGAAGGTCCACGGTGTTGATGGGTGAAGTGTGGTTTCAGTGGGTGGGGCGGGGATCCGGCAGCTACGGCGTGTTTTGCGTCGGGGAGTCGGTGTCGGCTCTGTTGGTGTGTCGAAGTTGAGGGCCGAGCTGCCCCCCTGTTTCGGCTAGTGGTGTTAGACGGCGGGGTTCTAGTGTTCCTTAGCTCGGCTAGTGGTGTTTGGCATGCTCGGGCAGTGCTAGAATGGGTGCGGTTCGATTGTTCCTCCTGTCGAGGCGGGTTGTTTCGGAGTTTTGTTTGTGTTTCGGGCTCGACTTTTTGTATAGGCCTTGTGGTAATTTCGGAAGTCGTCCCTGGACTTGGACTATTCTTTGTTTCGACTGTTCTCCGCTGGTTAAGGCCGACTGAGTTGCCGTGGAAGGGCCTTGTGTTTTTTTTATTTGTCTTGTGGTGTAGTAAATTTGTGTTTTTGGTTTGGGTGCTTTGCCTGTGTGTCCATGCTCCCGAGTGTCAATTTATTATTCTATTGGGATCAGACACTCGAGTATTATTCCGTTGGGCTCTTTAGTAGTTTTTGTTGTAGTTTCTGTAGTTGTGTAGTTGCGAGTTTATTTTTCTAGTTTTGCTAGTTTAGGCTCTAGGCGATCCTTTAGATCTGCCTCCCAATTTTATCAGTCTTTGGTTGTACTATTCAGCCTTTGGCTGCTTATCTTCGCACTTTGTGCAGATTTATTTATATAATACCTCTATCATTTTGGAAAAAGAAAATGTACAATAATTTTATCACTTAATTTAGCTAAATAATATAATGACCCAACGTATCAATTACACATGTTTAATCCAAAATAGATCTAACAATCTCCCACTGGATTAAATATGTCCTGATGATACATTATACCGTATGGACTCAAAATATGGTCATTATTACAGAACTTGAACAATCCGGTCCTTTAATAACAACAATATAAGACTAAAGCAGTTTTCGCTGTATAGACACAGCTAAACTATCAATAATCACATATATCACTATGATTAGACACAGCTAAACTATCAATAATCACATATATCACTATGATTAAATGACATAGATCAAACTGTGGAATATGTGACATGAAAATTACATGAATGTCACTACATGTCAATTTTCAACTAGTCCAAACTTAATGAGATCGTTATGTACCAAAACATAATGTACAAAGTGTCAATAAAGTAATGTGTGAGAACAAATACTATTCAATTATATTGATAAAAAATAGAAGAGTTAAACTAGATTAAAGTTGAAAGTTGAGTGGAATTTTGAGTTATGTAAACAAAGATCCAGACTAGTCAAAATCAATTATATTCTATATCTATCAGCGCTCTTGCTACACCTCACGTGTACCTTCATTTTCCTCAAAATTTTCATCTGATACCGATTACAAATAATGGGTCACGAAAAAGAAAAGAGTACAATTTAGGTGAAGCTCGCAATAATTTACAAAAATGGAAAGGGTGAACTGAAAAAAAAAAAAAATACCCCAAGAATGCTTCTGCAATTTTTCTGCTAGAAATCTAAGATCTGTCGCACGTTTGAATCCTGAAGCCGCCAAGAAAATCCATTGGGTGCGGTTCAAATGGTATAAATCATAAGTTGTTTTTAAACCACTTGACAACCCCATTTGCAACAGACCTGCAACAACAATTTTCATTTCAATTAATAGTTCCACGACAGAAATATGCAATGACAATAAAAAAAAAAACGTAAAACAAGCCACATGTATATATAGTACTAATAATATCTGATATCCGTGAATTTCATTTGTTTGCTAGAACACTAAATGAAACACAATAGTAAACAGAAGATTCTGCATGAAAGAACGGTCAAGTTATAAAATTTGTCAGAGGAGCAAGGACAATGTTATTAAAGAATATCCAAAGCAGTTAAGCATGGACCACACATAAAAAAACCTAGTTATGCATCAAAATATAAAGGCACTTGATATTTCCCTCTTTACAAATTGAATCATCAAGAGAGAAGCCTTCACTGGGCAAATAAAATTTAATTTGTAACTCTTGAAGGGGGATTATGTAATTGGGAAAGAAAACTGGAGTCTTACGCAAATTGACTAAGCTTCACAGGCACTATTCATAATTATTCCTAAACTAGGGGCCGAGAAGGAGAGCTGATGGGGAAATATGGCATAGCAATACTTTGAATCAAATGAGCAGCAATAATAATAATAATAATAATAANGAATCATCCATCAGAGCATGAAACATAATATCACTAAAAGCTAGGACACGAACAATATTAAAACCAAGAATTACAGTTTCACGAGTGAATTTACGATTATAATAGCATTGTTTAAACCATTTATACTGACAGCATATATGGTTTGCCAATAAATGTGAAAGTAATAACAATCTACATTGGGAAGAATGACAGTAAAGATGAGAGTACCCAGCAAAATCTTTCAACTTCTTCAACACGTCATCTTCATCTTCTGATTTATCTTTATTTTCTGCCAAAGGAACTTCTTCACTTTTCGTAATTTCATCTGCAATGCGGAAAACCAACCAGGCGTCAATAATCAACGAAGAGTATGCTGATCTAAGCTTAATAAAAGCTTTTTAAAACATACTATAAAATGTTTGAGATCTTGTAAGCTCGTACAAAGTGTTTGGCAGCTTCTTAGATTTTGGCCATTACTAACATTTTATGAGCTCATCATTCTTACAATTTATCCAAACACTTGACCAACTTAATTTTAAAGTAACATCTGACACCTTCTAACGTATAAGCTCCGAAGACATGTAAAATATAAGAGCTTGCTTATACAGTCTGTCAAATAACTGCAGGTAAAAACCTATTAAAATTGGTCAATTTAAATGAGCTTAATGAGCTGTTAGTGTAACATTTATTATACTGTCTAAAAAGGATTAAGTACAAAGAATACTGATAAAGATCAGTACATTTCTGGAAGAAGAAAAGCCTAAAAAAAATTCTTTCATAGTTACATAGAACCCAGTGTTATTTGTTTATTTGTCTCTGATCAATGTTTTAAAATGTGTATAGCGTAATGCGTTGCATTTTGGTCATTATATTTGGTATCCAAAATAGCGTAAGCTATTTGGGCATAAAAATTATTTTTATATAAATATTAAATATATATATATATAATAAAATTGGGTAGTTATTTAAAAAAACTGTCATAATATTAAATATTGAAATAAAAAAATAACATTTAAGCATTATTCTTACAAATATATTATGAAATGTCTTAATATAAATGTTTAATCAATAATAAGCTAAAAACAAATAATAAAAATATAACGATATAAGTCATAATGCATGTTAATTAAAGTTCTCAAATTCAATTCTAAGCACTAACTTTGAATTTTCATTCCTTTATCTCAATACCAATTACATAAATAAAATAAAATAAAATAAAATAAAAAATAAAAATAATAAAAATATCAATTGTTGTTTGAAAATATGACTATAATCCAATAACTGGTCAACTTAGGCTTTTAATTTTTAAACCTTTAAGGAAAATCAATATCAAAATTTTCAAATGTTGTTTGAAAATATGACTCAAATCCAATAGGATGAGTTTTTCTTTTTATTATTTTGTCCTTTAGTGTTGCTGAAGTAATGTAGCGCAAAATAGCATAACAAAGCTTGTCAAGTCAGCATTTTGTGCAACCTTTTTGGGAAAAACACACAACATCACATGTTACTGAAAAACTTGCACCATAGCGTGCTACGGAATGCTATTTCTATTTTAAAACATTAATCTGGGTAAGGGTGTGCACCGAACCGCAAGAATCTAAACCAAACGGCACAGCCATAGAGAAAAAAACCGAACCAAAACCGACTGAAAATTTTCGGTTTCAGNATATCTCTATTTAAAAAAAAAAAGTGCAAGAAGTCTAAGAAGTAATAAAAGAGAACAATCTGTCAAAAAAATAAGAACAGAGAACAGACATAGCCATGGTTCACTCATGATATGACTTAGGTGCCAGCGCCACGACTCACGGTAAATCAGAAACGAAGAAATTCATGGCAAGTCGACAGCAGAAGTACGAAATAGAGAGAGCAAGGGAGAAAGAGTGAAAGAGAGGGCAACCAATCTGGCACCACTAGCGTACAGTGAGCGAGGTGACGAGGGTCAACGACAATTTGCTGATGGTGATTGTTTGTGAATTAGGGTTTGAGACTGAGGATCGAACTTCGAAGACATCCCTTTTCTTTTCTTCCGATACAATTGAGGATGTCAAATTAATATGTATTTCCTTAGTGTGTAAATTTGTGGCTCAGTTCGGATAAAACCAAACCCCTTAAACACAAAATCGAACCACGCAACAATTGTTGAATTTTTTCAAAAACCAAACGGCACTGAAACCGAACTACTTCAAAACCGAACCGAACCGCACCGCACGGAATTCATCGGTTCGGCTCAGCTCAGTGTTTCGGTATCAACTCGGTTTTGCTCACCCCTAAATTTGGGTAGAGGATTAGTTAATAGGGTTGAGCATGGGACTCGAAGAATTTCGCAGCGTTCCGAAAACCGAACCGAATTCACTCGAACCAAATAAATAATTCGGTTTGGGAGATTTCACAAATATCTGTAACTACGACCGAACCGAACCGAACTGAAGAACTGAAATTAATAACAGAATTACAATATCAGGTATGTCTTGTTCATATATCTTATGTCAACTTTAATCTTATATAATTTTAGTATTTTTAAAATACTTACCAACATATAGTAAAGAACAATTAAACTTCACTTAAATTTTATGCTTAAGAATACTTGATCTACAATTAACTGAAAAATGTATTTATATAATATTTGTTGATACTTTTCTTAGTCTTATTCCATCTTATAATTAAAATGGTATAAAAAGTAAAGAAATACTTAAAAAATTATATTATATTTAATTTGATTTCAATTTTTCATCATTAGTTATACAAAATCAGTCTTAACTAAAATTTTGAGTTACTTCTATATTTTAGAGTTGATATCAAAAAAGAAAAAAGAAAAAGAAAATTATACGAAATGTTGACTTTTTTTTTAAAAAAAAAAGTCTATCAAAATTTAAATATAACTAAAGAGTCATTCAAAAAAATTGAAAAATAATTAAAAACCTTCAGAGTTCCAAACAGAACCGAACCATCCCCGACAGTCCCAAATATCGAACCGAACCGTAAAGAAAAATAAAAATCTCTAAACAGAATTGGACCGATTATTGGTACGGTGACGGAGATTAATTTTTGTGATCTCCGAACTATATAGACCTATGCTCACCCCAATTAGTTAAGCAAATGAAAACCTTCAGAAGGTGTTTGTAAGTAGTTTCTCAAGATAACTGAAATTTCTGTAACCAGGCTAAACTCAAGAGATAATTATGTAACTTATTCCATAGAAAATTAACTAATCATGCTACAAGTATCACAAATGGATTCATAACCAGTCAAGTTATTCAAGTCTTCAAAAGAACTGCTCACCGGGTTTTTTAACTTTAGGGCGACTTTTTGGACGGTTGGCAGGGGCTTTACCAATAGTTGCAAGCTCCTCAAGTAGTTCTCTTTCCTTTTCACTGAAAATTGAAGTATCTTGAATTAAATTCCCATGAAATAAAATATGACGGAGTCAAAAGCAAAGGCAGGCAAAAGTTAAACCATGATAAAAGGAAGTTCTCCTGAACTATAAGAACTAGAAATAGTTTCCGCCATATAAAAGGTGTCAACCATTTTGTACTTGTTATAATATCTAGAAAGCTATCATGCCATTCACGTCCAATCAGGACCATCGAGATGACTTAAACCACGAGAAGCAAGTTTAAGATAATTCCTTCAGTAGCTAAATGAACTCATATTTGTTAGCATCAATATCTGATTACAATGAAAAAGTCTTGTGTATTTAAACTTTTAGAGCATGAGAAGATGAGATGGGGGGTCTCAGTTTAGCTATTCCACGCTATAGGCAAATTCTGTGTTTTCAAATAAACAGATAGACAAACAATCAAATTGTGACAATGCCAAAACGAGTACAGACTAGAAACAACAATTTAGCAACACAAAACCAGTATCCCGATGTTGGAACAAACTACACCAAGTGAGACACGTACAGATAAAGTTTGAAGAAGGAAGAAGCTTCCGACTTACCTGATACGCTTTGGTATGCTAATTTTCACGTTGAATAGATGGTCACCACGGATTGATGGCCTGTTAAGTTTAGGTGCACCTTTTCTTGCCAAAACTAGCACATCCCCAGGTTGAGTACCAGGTGGAATTTGCAGATCTGTTATTCCTTCAACTGTCTTAACCTATTCCAGATACCAGGAATCAACCTTTGGCATCAGTTAAATATGTGTGTTTGAAGCGTGATTTTTTACATTATTTTTCACTGATATCAGTAAAATAAGCATTTTTTAACGTAAATGTGTGGCGACCATCAAGTTCAAGCATGCAGATGTTTACCAACTTCTCGTGCATAGAAATATTTGATAATAAAACGTTATGCTGATCTTAGCAAGGTGGTGTCAGCAACTAAAATATTATGATAATGTTCTTGGAGTTACAATTCAGAAAACTGTCTTGTAACCCATAACTATTTTCTCCTTATCAATTATGGGGTCAACCAAATATATAAGATCTAAATAGGTCCAAAATATATCTCTGCATACACCATTTTAAGCAATTGTTGCATATAAGTAATCACATCTATTACTATATAATAAGGCAAGGGAATATTATAAATATGTAGTTTTATTCATATTATAAATAATTTTAAATGTTACAAAATTTATTCAAAAATCGTACAAAACCTACCAGTTCGAACGACATGTGGTGATCGGCTCACAAACAAACATTTTATTCAAGAGAACCAGACTGATCGATAAATGGGTTCACAGTCCACTCCATCAGACTATTTGGTCCGGTCCGATTTTGAAAACAATAGGTAAATCATGATTATTGTTATTTATATATTTAAATTTAATACAGTCATAATATTTTTCACCATGCATCGGATGGGCCACGTACTAGGAATAGATAAGTACGTAAACTAAATATTCAGAAAATGTTGGTTTCCATCATATGAAAACTTTAAATAAGAAATGCAAAAATCGGCAAGTCTAAGCAAAAGTCATGAAGAATATATGTTAGCTCTATGTAGTTTATGCACTTTGTCATAGTTTGCAACTTTCAAGATTGTAAAAGCATAAACTGCTGCATCTAAAACACTTCATACAATCGTACTACTGTTTTCATATGACCAAAAGCGTGCACTTGCATGGGCAGCAAGTTTTTAAGATAACATATACGAGTGGAAGATTTGAGTAAAGATTAAGGAATGTCCAAAAAAATAGTGAGTTCCTGAAAAGGTAAAATTCATATGAAAGAAAACAATTCAGAAAGGTACTAATGGGTGTCCAGAGCGACCAGAGTTCCTGAGAAGTGGGAATAGGGAACCGATAGTTGTAGTTCTGAATAGTTTATAATGAAGGAGGGAATGGATAATATTTTAGGTTTCCCTTGGCTTTCTGCAAGATCTTTCAGTGCTTTAAATATATACTTTGACCATTTCAAAGGAAAGTTGTAATGGCATGTCCTTCAAACATATGCACACCAAGTAAAGCATCCTAATATACTTGTAAAGCATCCTAAACATGAGCACACCAAGTTGTAACGCCATGTCCTTCAAACAATTGTAAAAAACCCAAACAATTGTGGGCCATAATATACTTGTTGCTTGAGCTCAGTTTCAGATGGGATCAGTTGGACGAAAAAGCACAAACTACTTTAACTCTACCAAGGTAAAGCATCCTAAGAAAAAATGCATAGGTACAGTAAATCCAGGAAAATAAATGGATCTCTGCACAAGAATAAAGATTAAATATACCTTCATAACAGTCCCCAATATGGCATCCAGATAACTGACTGAAATAGTTGAGTTGAGATTTATGCCGTCTCTTTGAATCTCAGGTATCTCCTCAATATCAAGATAGACATAAAGATCTCCAGGTTGGCCTCTGTATCAAGAGAGAAGCCCCAGGATGAGTTAAACATGCATTTACCCAATTTATCTTTTACATTTCCAGAATAGTAACACAAACCTAGAGAAAAATGTATAAAACGAGTAAATAGTGATTTAGCAACACAACATGACAACATCATTTGGCATCACATTTCATGCATAAGAACTCCTTGAAGATCTCATGTGACGTTCATGAGCGCACAATAATAGTTTGTAGGAAATTAATCAAAGAACATGGCAAAAGAAAAAAGAAAAAAAAAATAAAAAGAAACAAACATTTAAGGGAAAAGCATCTTCTTTACATAACGAATTAAGCATTAACAAAATAACTTCTGCCTGGGAAGGACGTAATGTGAAATCCTATAACGTTGGGCACAGCAATCTATATCTGAAAAGCAGAAGAGCAGCAAGGTACATACCCTTTTGGCCCAGCATCACCCTCTCCAGAAACTCGAAGAATACTTCCTTTCGCAACTCCAGGAGGAATTTTCACTTTGATATCTTTTCTAACTCGTACCCGACCAACACCAGAGCATTTACGGCAGGATTCAGATACCATTTCCCCATCCCCACCACAATTCGGGCATATAGATACCTAATGCATACACCATGTGAGAGCATACTTTAACTTTACCAGGTCAATTAAAGTTCTTTTGCATGCTTAAACAGATTTGGCTAGAAAAATAAAATCACATGTCAACTTAAATTCATTAAATTGATATAAATAACTTGAAATTACATTCTTTTGAGAAAGAAATAAAGTATTTATTTGACGTAATCAATGGGTATACAGCAGTTCAATTCAGTCTACCCATACAAAGGAAAGACAATAAACTGAGGTTCTACAAGCATAAGATGTGTATGTTTTCACTGGGTCATGCACAAGATATGTATAATTTTACAGGAATCTAGAGGAACATGTATGCCTAGTTATGCACTAAACAGTAAACAACAGAGTAGGTTAAGTTCACTAGGCTATATTATATAATCAACTTTAACCATTGACCATGTCTCGCATTATGATTTCTTTATTGTATGTGTTTGAGAGAGGCCACAACAATGTCACAACAATTACTGACGTCATGGAAATCCTAAAATATCCTTTGAAGCAGGAAATCTGCCTTATATAGACAAGTACCTGTGAAAACAAGCCAAACGGTGTTTGTTCAGTTCTCATGACTTGTCCTCTGCCACCACATGTTGAGCATATTCTCATTTTGGAGCCTACTTTTGCTCCAGTGCCAGCACAAACTTCACAGGTCTCAAGATGGGACAACTCAAATTCTTTCTCAGTCCCAAATATAGCCGCCGAAAATTCCAATGTCATATCATAACTGATAGGTATTTTAAATAATAAAAACAACTTTGATGAGAAAAACGAATTAATCAAATTTAGTGGACAATATTACATAGCAACACCATCCAGGCCCAGAAGTGCTATAAAACCAGTGCACGAGAAAATTGGAACCTACTGTAAAACATGCCTCCAAATTTGCAAGCTAGATGAAGAATTATCACATACCAGTGACATTTTTTAAGATGTGGATAATAAAACAAATTTAAAAGAACAGTGACGAACTAATAATAACTAATATGTCAAGGAAATGATATATTCAAATTTTACTCACCGGATATCTTCACCTTTCGAAACAGTACTGCGTCGTGTGGTTCCAAATCCAGATCCATCCATTCCAGGGAACCCACTCATACTAGACCCGAAAAATGCTTCAAATAGATCAAATGGGTTGGTTGCCTAGGGAACAAGATAAACATCAACAACCAAAAATAGATGTTTTTATTGCCACACAAGCATAAATCTTTTCTTTTCAACTGATGTTAAATTGCTTGCATACTTCGAATAGATTTATGACATGATATAAATCTAGTCTCAGAGATACCAAGTACATATCATTTTGGGGAAGAAATTTTAAAAAATCATCTGGGCTTTTGACACACTGGGGTAACTTACTTCATGCCATTTTTATGCTGTGATAACATAATTGCACTACGACAGATAACAAGCATGATAGAAGAGCAATTAAGTTCACAAACACTTTCACTTTTGATAATGATGGAGTTCCTTGGTAGAAAAAGGTTCACTCCAGATAAACTAAGCCAAAGGACAGTACTGGTTGAAATTTGTAAGATATTTGAATTATCTTGGTGAGAAAGATGCAAGCAAGGCGGGATAACTTCTTCTAAATGTAAAACTGCTGTGTGAAGCACATTTGTCAATGACGTCTTTAGTGCAAACCGCAACTCATTGGCAAAAGAAATATAGCCAGTACCGCATAACCGCCAGCTCCACCAACGCTACTTTTGACTCCAGCTTCACCATATTGATCATACAAAGCTCTTTTTTTGTCATCTGATAGTACCTGACAATACCGTACTTCAGAATTCTTTTAATAGCATTGCTAGCATTCTACACTTAAAAACCATGTTGAGATAATCTTCTGTGACCATCAAAACGTTATGACTACTCAATTTTGACTAGCACTTAGGACTTCGTGGGCATTGTCAAGAGAGATAAATCCAAAACAGCATCGAGAGGATTCTATTCAACAATCACAAAAATAGAGCAACCCTATTAAAACAAATATGGATATTGAAGTAAAATACAAAATGTCGAAAAGAAAATTGCAGCAGTAGCATTAAAAAGAGAGATCAGGCATTACTTATTATTCACTATGCCAACAAAACTACTGAAAGGTTGTAAGCCAAATACTCAGATGCAGAGGAATCACATCTTCAGAGTGATGCACCAAAGAATTGAAAATTTATATTATGTTGCAGGAATCTAACTGGGAAATGTAACTAACAGAAAATATGGTCATCAAAATCGATTTTAAAAGCATAACTATTCTTTTCATATCAGCACTTTCAGAATGTTTGTTGCTGTGGAATTGATCAATAGGTCAAAGACATTGCCACTCATTGTAAATCTTAGCCGACCAGATCGAACTTATACGGCAATGATAGCTTCGATTTCTCAATCAACTATCAAATAGCCTATAAACGTCACAGTAACATTCAAGCTGCAATCGCACAGACCAGATTGTAATAATCCGTATCAACCCCCTACTCTTACCTCATAAGCTGCACTGATCTCCTTGAACTTTTCAGTTGCTCCAGGCTCTTTATTGACATCAGGATGGTACTAACCACAAAATACAAAAACACAAATACAATTCAGTTTCCTACAACGAGAAAGCCAAGAGAATGTAATCAACCCAATATAATTCTTCATGACCAATCAACATCGTACATAGAAGCCTCGAGATTGCAATTAGATAAAATTTACCTGCCTTGCCAGCTTTCTGTAAGCAGCTTTAATTTCCTTGGTGCTGGCAGATTTTAGCACCCCAAGCGTGGAGTAGTAATCAGCTGCGGCGACGACCACAGTCGCTCTCCGAAACCTACGCGCGTGCATTTTCTTACTCGAATGAAACGAAGGAGAGAGAAAAAGTCGCTGAAACTTTTCATGGCCCCACGCGGAGGTCCCACCAGTTGAGAAGCAAGATGACGAAGAGCTCAGCGGAGTGATTGAACTGCTCTGTCTATGCCGCGTTGAGGTCAAGGAAGAAGGGACGAACAGCGAGGCGGCGGCAGCGGCGGCGGCCATTGCAGATTAGATTTTTGGAATGGTACCTAAAAAGGAAAAGGAGAGTAGAAATTCAGAGGAGATTATTGTTCGAGTTTCTGGATTAACTGCATCTTGTTGATGAATGCTCATTTCAATTGGAGAATGCCGGCGAGTTTTGGATTTCTGCTCATTGTTTTTCTGGTCTTTTCAGCTCTGCTACTCCGAATTTTTTAATTTCGTTTTTATACTATTATTATTTTCTTTTTTGTTTTCCCCGTTTTTTGTGTGGGCGTGGAGATTCTGGAGAAAGGCAGAAACGAGGCAAAATAAGATCAGTTTTTTCTTTTGGGTAAATTGAATATGCGCGACTATATTCATTTAGGTTTTAATATCGACGGATCACGCTCCTCATACCCCAAACACTGTTAATAATTTTGTAAACTCCTTGTTATGCCCCTTGTATTAGAACCGTCGCACAACACTATGGTCTCACAGTACTCTCTCACAACACATAACGAAAAAATCAGAAAGAACACACACTCGATCCAATTGAAGAAAATTCGAACAAATCTGCTAAATCATTTCAATCTCAGGTCGACGAGGAACTGCTTTCAATCTTAGGTCGATGGCGACTTCTGAATAACTTTCAATACGGTCGAAGAAGAAAATAATGCATTAGTTTTAGTCCACGGCAAATTAGGGTTCCCGCAAAGCGATTTCGTCTAAGGTATTTTGACATGTACTTTCTTACTGGCTTTTACTGTATTGTTTATTTATGGTTAAACCTTGAAAGCTTGTTTGTTGAATGCCTATATGAGATTAGGAGATTAGGGTTTGTAGTCTTGTGGTGGTTTTGTAGTCTTTGTATGTCATAGAAATTAGGATTGTTTTCCACGACAAATTAGGGTTATTTATGTCCTTATGTGAAATGCATATGTGCCAGCAAATATAGTTTGCTTTGGTAGTATTATCCTGTTGTGCCAGCAAATGCCCCCTTCCCATTCTTATGAAATCAAACAAAGCTTGTTTGTTGAATGCCTTTATGACCTTAGGATTTGTAATTTATTTTGCTGAAGGTCCTTATGTGAAATTCAACTAAGCCAGCAGAAATAGTTTGTTGTGGTTCCCTTCTTCTGATATCATGTGTATATGTTTTTATTTGTACTTCTTGTGGTCCCTTCTTTAAGGCAACAATTGAATTGAACCAACAATATATAGTGTGCATTTTTATTTGTATACAATGTGGTCACTTTTGTTTATATTCTCCATTGCATTAATCAATTAAATTGATCATGTTATTATTGTTTTTATGTAGGATGGTTGTCTGCTTTGATGTTAGAGTTGGAGAAGTGGTAAAATGGGAGCCTTTTCTTCAATATTTTGGGGGGCAGAGGGTTGCAGTTCAATGGGATGATGTGGACAAGTTGTCCATGTTTGAAATCATGGATATCTACAAGACAGCTGGTGGAAATCATCAGTTGTGGAAATTTTCTCACATAAGCCTGGGATGACCCTAAAGACAGCAAAGAAGAGGATTAAGATAGACTCTGATAAAGATATCCTTCAGTTGGTGAAGAAGTATCAAGGGGTTTAAGTGATTCCACTATACTTTGAGGATTTACAGGGACCTGTACAACAGATGGACAGTGATGGGAACCTCATGACTTCACAAGAAGAGATATCTCTTCTTGAGTATCCCTATACTCAATAGAGCTTTATAGATGAGGCTGATGGGAAACTACAGAAGCCATACCAGAACCAAGCTATATGGGTGAACCTGAAGGGCAGAAAGATGATCTACCTTTTGAAGATGGAGCACAACATGAGTTTGAAGCACAACAGGGTGGCCACATGGTGGCCAACTACAGGAGATGCCTCATGAGTTTGAAGCACAACAGGGTGGATCACATGGTGGCCAAGAATAGAAGATACCTAAAATCTGGATCACATGATGAGGATGAAGGACACCAAACTGAGGATGATTCAGAGGATGAAATGTATGTACCTGGCCAAAGTAGTGATGACATGTCATCTAAATTGTCTGAATGGGAGTTAGAAGATCTAGAAGGCCCTGAAGATGATGATATATTCCAGCAGAGGGATCCTGTTCATGCTAAGAAAGTTCACAAGATGGCTAAAGAATGGATGAAACAAAGAAGAAAGAAGAAAAAAATAGCAAGAGAAGAAGCTGAAAAGAAGAAAAAGTCTAATGAATCAGATTGGTACGGTGATATTGAGGATGATGATGAGAAGTTGTTTCACATGGATGATGAATGGAATGACGGCATGAGTATGGCAAGGTTTGAGCTAAAGGTTGGTCTGAAATTTCCAAACAGAACCAAATTCAAGGAGGTTCTTAGAGACTGGTCTGTCAGAAAGGGTTATGATTTGCAATATCCCAAGAATGAAGCTAAGCTCATCACAGCAAAGTGCAAAAGTGGTTGTGACTGGTATTTGAGGGCCTCAGTCATATCTGACATGTCAACATTTCAGATCAAGATCCTGAAAGGCACACACTCATGTGCTTACAGGACAGAAAACAAACAGGCAGATTACAAGTACCTAGGGAGAAGGATGATTGAAACATTGAGAGACAATCCTGCTGAGCCACTCCAAAGTCTGAAAAACAAAATTAAGAGAGATTGTGGGGTTGATATAAGTATTCACAAGGTGTAAAGAGTTAGAGCTTATGGTTTGTCATTGTTGAAGGCTGACATTGGGGAGCAATTTAGGAGACTGTATGACTACTGTTCCACTGTAGTCAAGTACAATCCTGGTAGCACCCTTATCCTGAAACTGAACCATGATTTCACACCTCCAAAGTTTGTCAGGATGTATGTTTGCTTTGGTGCAATGAGGCAGGCCTTTGTGACTGGATGCAGGCCCATTATAGGGCTTGATGAATGTTTTTTGAAGACTCTACATGGTGGTCAACTACTATCAGTTATTGGCAGAGATGGCAATGAAAACATGTTGCCTATTGCAATGGCCTATGTGGAAGTTAAGAAGATGGACTCTTAGAATTGGTTCATTCAAAGGTTGTTAAGAGATATTGACCCATACTTGGAGAAGAAGTGGACCTTTGTTTCAGATAGACAGAAAGGCTTTTGATGTTGTAGGTCAAGTCAAAGGGGCAGAACACAGGTATTGCTTGAAGCATATGTACAATAATTTCAAGCAGAAATAGGGTGATTTGGAATTAAGAAAGTGGTTTTGGAAGGCAGCCAACACATACAATGTGAGAGAGCACATTAGGTGTATGAAAGAAATCCATAGGCTTGTCCCAAAGAAAGATGGAAAGGTTACTCCATTTGAGTGGCTTAAGGCTATCCCTGAAGAACGGTGGGCAAGATGTTTCTTCACTTCCATGCAATGTGTGATGTTATTGTGAATAATCTATCAGAGTCCTTCAACAGTCACATCTTGGAAGCTAGGGATATGCCTATCATAGACATGTTTGAGTGGATAAGGAGAAGAATGATGGCAAGGATGCAGGTGAAGAGAGTTGGTATTGAAAAATATGCAGAGGATATATGCCCAAACACAGTGAGAAAAATTGAAGAGCAAAAGATGTTGAGCAGAAACTGTTACCCAACTTGGGGTGGAGAAGATAAATATGAGGTGGTGCATGGGGTTTAGAGTCATGTTGTGCAATTGAATGCTAGAAGTTGCACCTGTGGCATGTTTAAGTTGGTTGTCTATCCTTGTTGTCATGCACTAGCATGCATCTCATATCACATGTTTAATCTTTCTGACTATGTGTCTGACTTTTTCAAAAAAGAAATGTATGTGAGGGTGTATAGCAATATGATCAACCCTGTTCCAGGGATGAATGACTTTGAGGAGTCTGGAATGGGCCCAATTCAGCCACCTGATCCTATGAAAAAAAGAGGTAGGCCAACAAACAAAAGGAGGGCTGATGGTAATGACATGAGAACTATGGGAGGAAGTGTGAGCAGAAAGGGTTATCTTAAGATATGCAAATTGTGTTGGGGGGAAAATCACAATAAAAGGAGCTATATCAAAAGGGCTAGGGAAAATTCTGGTGCTTCTGGACAGGTATATTCTTATTTTCATCATGTTATGCATTAAACTTCACAAAATTTCATGTTAATTGTTTTGTACATCCATGACACATTTGCAGCAACATCCATCTCAGCCTACTGGTCCATCTCAGCCTGTTGAAGGTTTTTTCCACAACACTGGCCCTCAAAGATCTACTCAGTAAGGCTTTTTCCACTGGTCCTATTGAAATGGCCTTTCATTGCTTGTTTTTTTTATCATGAGGCCATTGTTGGTAAATTATTTTGTATATGTTGAATGTGGTATGTTGGTACAATTTGACCAGTATTTTGGATATGTTATAAGGATTTGGTTGGCTGTTGTTTTGTTATGTTGGTATGCATGTTGCAACAACTCTGTTTTGGTTGAGATTTATAATATGTTGGTATTTATGTTGCTATAAGTCTGTTTTGGCTTATGTTGTTTATTTCTGATTTGGCATTTAGGTTGCTATAAGTCTGTTTTTGGCATATGTTTCTTATTTCTGTTTTAGCATTTATGTTGCTATAAGTCTGTTTTTAGCATATGTTGCTATAAGTCTGTTTTGGCATATGTTGCTTATTTCTGTTTTAGCATATGTTGTTGGCCAGGATATTGAGCAGGTTTTCATGCATTCATTCTAATCTTGAGTTTCATACAAAATAGAGGCTTACATTCATTATCAAGCATTACATTCTACAATTACTTGAGAATGATAACAGCTACAAGGATTACAATAACCAAAAACATCACTCCATTTTTAAATCTTTTTTCAAATTTCTCCATCCTTGAATGCATCTCTTTCAGCATTGATGTGACTTCAGTATTTTCATTTGCTAAATTTGCTGCAGTTGATTCAACTTCATCATCATCTTCATCATAATCTTCATTTTCATGAGCACACGGCTTCACCCAATTCACTTTCGTAGGTTTAAACCAAGCAAAAAAGTCACATTTGTTATACGGACAATTGCAAAATAGCTTTCCAACCGTTCTTTTTGTAGGACCAACTACCCTGATTTGTGCAAATACATTGCATTTACACTTTAGATACCAGTATCGTAAATCTAAGCTGTCAATCTTCGATTTTTGGGAAATTTTCAATCTTTCCTTGTCTTTGAATCTGGGGAAAAAAGGAAGCATAGAGGAAGAAATTAAGACTGGAAAAATTTGAATTTGAAAGCTGAAAAAAAAATTCAAAGCTGTGAAAAAAAATAAAAGCTGTGAAAAAAAAATACCTTTTTTGTGCTCGAAATTCTGCTCTCCAGGTGTTCTAAAAATGTCTTTTAGACACAATAACG